TTTTAAAAATTATTGATTTTTAGAGAGAGAGGAAAGGAGAGGGGGTGGGGACATCAATTTGTTATTCAACTTATAGATGCAATAACCGGTTGCTTCTTGTGTGTGCCCTGACCAAGGATCAAACCTGCAAACTTGGAGTATGAGGATGATGCTCTAACCAACTGAGTTCCCTGCCAGCTCAGTTCAATAGTCTTTTAACAGGTTTTGCTACTTCTGTATCTTCCTCCTTTTAGTTCAATTTCCACATGACACAGAGTTACCTTCTATGACAAAGATTTCATCATGTCACAGTCCCAATTAAAAAGCTTCAGTGGATCTCTATTGCTTATTAAATAAACCATTCAGGAGTCTTAACTTTTTTCAGCCATATCTTTCAATACTTTTATAATGCATCTGTAGCCTAGACACACAAGCCTGTTTGAGGATTCCCTAAGCATTCTATCATCACAGTGCTTTTGTGTATGCCATTCCCTCTGCTCAGACTGCCCTTCCCTGCGTTAGATGCAATCTTACTCATCCTTCAAGATCCAGCTCAAATTTTACTATTATAGTCAATCTTTTCAACCCCATAGCATGTGGAATTAATTGCTCCCTCTCCACAATATATACTTCTATGAAGAATTTATGTTCTGTTATGGTTATTAGTATGTCTGTCTCTTCTCCTACCAAATAGACTGTGAAATCTTGGAAGCCTGACGTATCTTTGATTTTCCAGTCTATTACAGGTAACAGGTTCTCCTTAAATATTGAATCTTCCCATAAATCAGCTAAATTTACATGGAAAGTAATTCAGTTACAGACTGAAATTTTAGTTCAAGCTAGTCTGACTCAACAAGTATGTGTGTCACACAAGAAAGGGCACCAACACACTGTTTCAAAAAACAAGTGAGCACATGGGTGGGTCAGTGCTAATTCTTTCATCAACAGAAGAAACAAAACAAAACAAACAACCCTCTCAAAACAAAACAAACAAAAACTAAAAGCATACGGCTGAATGATGCAAGGAAATTATTTCCAACTTTCCATCTCCCCAACTTTGACTAGATGTGCTATTTATTTCTCTGTATGGACTGACATTCTGAGGCCGGGGAACTATATGTATAATGTTTTTACAAAGTAAGAAGATGGAAATATAAACATTCTGCTTTCTTTTTTTAAAAGGTTTTATTTATTTATTTTTAAAGAGAGGGGAAAGGAAGGAGAAAGAGAGGGAGAGAAATATCAATGTGTGGTTGCCTCTCGCATGCTCCCTACTGGGGATCTGGTTGACCTGTGCTTTGATTGGGAATTGAACCAGCGACCCTTTGGTTCACAGGTTGGCACTCAATCCACTGAGCCACACAAGCCAGGGCATATTCTGCTTTCTGATCAAACCAAATAAAAAGAACTATAACTCAGAATAAAGGCCATTCTTGATCTTTATATTTCACACTCACCTCTTCTTGCTTAACTATTTTGACTGAAGCCTTTTTTGAGTTGCCCAGGATCTTTGGTAGTTCATGGTCTCCAGCTCCCAATCCCTGATCCCTGACTTCCTTGGACTGTGACTCTCTCGCTAGCATAAAATTGACTAGTAGGATTTTATGTTAATCCCAAGGAATAGTCACAGACTTTTAAGCAATGGATTCTAAGCCTCTTTTAAGAGAAAGTAATTACTATGAGTCAATACGGGTTTATGAAATAGAGCAGTATAATTTTCTTCTTTGAAAGTCCAATAAGACTGGTGTATGAGGAAAAAAATCAATGGTCATTATTATCCCTATCTCCAGTATGGTATCTGACAAAGTTGTTCATAACGGAACAAAACTATTAGATTCAATTAGGGAATTACCAATCAGCCTAAAAAATCTTAAGATACCCATAAAATTCTGAATAATGGATCTAAGTCAATATGAAGGGGAGGTCCACTTAATGTTGTGGTTCTCAGACATTGCTGTGCATCAGAACCACCTGGAGGGCCTATTCAAAGAGAAACTGAAGGGTCCTGTACCCAGAAATCCCGATTCAGCAGGTGGGCTCCAAGAATCTGCGTTTCTAACAAGTGATACTGCTGCTGCTCATCTGGGGGCCCTGTTTTGAGGACCGCTGATGTACTGTATTTCAGGTTATAGACATTAGGTTTTGTTTAACATTTTGCTAATGACCTTAAATATGTAAAAAATATGATTATGAATCTGTAGATAATATTAAATTGTGATATAAAAAGATCTCTATCAGCCCTGACTGGTTTGGCTCAGTGGACTGAGTGTGGGCTGTGAACCAAAGGGTTGCTGGTTCAATCTCCAGTCATGAAACACGCCTGGGTTGTGGGCTCCCTGCCCTCAAAAAAGATCTCAATCAGCTAGGTATGAGATGAATCTTAAAATTTAATAAGGATAATCTTAAAACTGTAAAACAAAAAACAATATACAAGTATAGGATAAGAAAAAAACAGAGCTTAACAATAGCAAAAAGGGAAACAGAGATGTTTATAACATTACAGCTTCAATGATTCAAGGGTATACTATGGCAACCACAAAAGATAATAACCGTTTGGGCTTTACTTACAAAGTCCAGAGTATAGAACAACGTAATTTGATAGTCCAGCTTCATATTATGCTGGTTCCCCCACACTTGAGTGTCTATGTATTCAACTTTGGATATCAGACAATTAATCAGAAGGTAGTCAAACCAGTTTGTTCAAAGAGCTTTGTATCTAAAGTCATATCACTGGGAACAATAAGATGAATTGTTGTTTCCCGGCCTTCAGAAGATTCAAAAGGCTATATAAGCAGTTTTCATCCTTGAGCATGAGGATTTGTTTTCTTCCGTCCGAATCTAAGAGGAACTGCTACAGTTGTCAGACTGCTCACTACACATGGCTGCCCAGCTAAGGAGAGGAGCTGGGAAAGGGAAGACGGAAATCCAACTCACATTTCACTTGATAAGCCATATGGTTGGGAAAAGGGTAAACTTTTTCTAATTCATGCAAAAGGGAAAACTCTGCAGGGCAATTTCCTTATAGTGGGGAGCCTTTTCTAACTTGCACAAAGGCACAGTATAGACTCAAAGTGACTCCAGCCCGAATGTAGAACTAGGTCTGTCAAGAGAAGTTTAGGGACAGTGATTCAGCTCAATGTAAGAAACGGGAAGAGTGATGTATTACATGAAAACTTATTTTCTGGAGAGTAGTTAATACCCCCAACTGGATGTTCAAGAACAGCTGGACAAAACTTGGTAGGGTTATTTAGGGAGGATTTCAAGGTAGATAAAGGAGTGTGTGAGTGAGAAGGGGGGGCCAGCGGGTTAGTCCTTTAAGAAAACATAAGCATTTTAAAAGGGGCCATTAGTAACTCCCCCCAAAGTAACAAAAGGTAGAAGGTGTCCTATGGCAGGGCAGAGAGGCAAAGATGTGGTTTTTAATGTGCCTTTCTTTAAATACAGTTAGACTAGCCCCTCGTGGAGAGAGCTAAAAGAACAGAAAGAGGGTCTAAATACCTAAAGTTGCCTAGTCAAACAGTAATTTCCATTTTTGAACAAAAACTCTAATTGAGAAGACACAACCAAATGCCAATAAACAATTCAACCATCGAATTACTTGAATCCACATTAAAGATATAATAATACAAAATGCCTCAAGGAATATTTCTGTAAGATATTTATATAAGTAATTCACACAGGGATGATCTCATAGGACAACTTTTAAAGAACTTTAGGAAATAAGTTTTAAACCATTTGTAGAATAACAATTACTTTGAGCTTGTAAACATGTAAAAAAAAAGAATGTTACTTGGGTAATGTTTTTGTAAATACAAAATAAGTATTTTGTAAATACTAGTTTTATTTTGAAAAATAAATATAATAAAGGTTTTCTAATTACAGAAAATTAGAAATGCTTTTTAGGAAAGGAAATGAAATCCCCTCTTCCCTAGGGAAAAACTATCTTTCTTTTGCTTTGTAGAGAAGGATTTCTCTCTCTCTCTCTTTTTTAAAATAGGTTCTTAAAAGCTTTCAATTTATTGTGTGTTTATATGTAATAAACAATTGATTTTGATCAAAGAGCCTACATAATTATTCTTTTTAATATTAATTATGGTTTTTCTAAGGTGAATGCCTTATATACAGTGGGCAAATACTTGATATCTGTTTGAAAATCTGTCACTCCTGCTTCAGTTGCAATCTGCTGACATTTACTCTTTTAATGTCTTTCACACAGAATATATTATTGCAAAATCTGCCTCAGACAAGTATTTTATGATCCTTCTTGTGCCCCACTGATTTTCAATTTATTAACAAAGGTGCCTGACTGAATTGTCAACCAGGGATTTTCATCATTGAATCAGTGCGCCATTCATTTGAAAGTACTGCTTAAAACTTGCTCCATATGTTGATGTCTTTGCACTTAAAGAGTTATAATTTAAGGGCAATATAATGAGGGTAATAAACCCACATCCAGAAGCACATATGACAAGGCTAATAACCAGCTAGTATATCCAGTCATGAAGCTGACTGGCTAATGTCAACATTAGACTATGGAATCTGCTAACCTCATTACCTAAAGAAAATAAAGTGAAAAACAATGGCAAAGGTAAACATAAAATTCAGAATATAAAAGAAGCTTCACTTGGAATGCAGGGTCCTAAGATCATCCTGCCAGTAAATATCTAAAAAGTTACTTACAAGGAAAATAAGAATGGCAAACTTAGAATAAGTTCATTCATTTATAACAAACATTTAGAGAGTCTTAGCAAGGAATGAGCAGAAGGAATAAGGGGAAAAACTCATCATCTTTTTAACGGCCCCTGCCAGGACTGCCACCTCAGTGCCTCTCTCCAGAGGCCCCAAATGTGAAGCTGAGACAGTTTTCTCTTCCTGGAAGGAACTTGCCTCTAAGGCTGCTTCAAGTTTAACTCTGTCAGGCCTTGTCTTCTTTCCGAACTATCCTACCACATACCCTTTCTCCCCATGCGATTTAAACAGACTCCTAGAAATGCATGAGATTTAACCACAAAGGTACTTACATTCACACTGTATGACATCTAAGTTGAACTGCTGAATGGCCCCCATGCTTATCTGTTTTAACTCACTGTCCAGCAGCATCTGCATTAAGGATGTTGACAGATGCTGGCAGGCTGACATGCACGCAGTCTGGGCAACTTTCCCCTGTTCAAAACAAATATCCAAACCAAAAAATAAACAAACCAAGAAACAAACATAGCAATACTTCATAAAGTATCAGAAAAATTATATGCCTGGCATTCTTTTGTTGCCTTTTTGGGGGTACAATAATGATTATTGGTCTTTCTGTTTCTGTATTCAGTGACTATGCCTTTTAGCACAAGAATTAAAATTAATACTCTTGTTCACTTGACCCTCTCAGGACATAAATATCATTAAAACTCTAACTGTACATAGGAAAATTAAAGTACAAGTAAAAGCAATTATTTCAGATCTCTTGAAATGTCTCAAGTATTTAAAAAAAACACATTAAATATGACATTATGACACAAAATAACTTATATTGACAGAACACTTTATTTATATAATATTCTTTAAGCTCTCCTTTATGTAATTAACCAAGCTAGAATAATGGAAGTTAATAAACAGTGTAATTAAAGTTATTACCATTTAAACTGTACCTAAAATTCAAAACATACTATGTTGTAAGTTCTTCTAATCAGAACATTAGTCTGTAGCATAGCTTCAACTAGTAAGAAAAGGCTTGCCTACCAATATGACTTCAAATTATCTACATTTAGTTTCTACTTGTCTACATTTACAGGTCTACATTTACTTTTTTAAAAGTAAGTTGTGGTGGGGGAAGGCAGACAAATAAAAAGATTATAAAACAAAAAAATTGTAGAATGAAGATTTTTACATTCCATTGTATTTAAAAATAAACAAATGTAAAAAATAAAATCAATGGATAATTTAGAAATACGTAGTTAGGTAAACTGCAAGTACGTATGGATTTCTGTCATTAAATATGTACCATTAGAAAATAGTTGCTACTATAAGTTCCTAAAACACTACATGAACTTTTACTGACAGCCTTAATTAAGGCTGTATTTTCTCAAAAATGACAAAGAAAAATGACAATTTTAAATGGTTAGCCTTTAGATTACATAGCTGAATCATAATACAATAACACTTTTAGTATTAATTGTTTCTTTAAACAGTCTTTGTATTTCAACTAGAAGCTTAAAATAAAATAATTTAAAGACTCTTTTAAAGTTTTCCAGTATAATATCCCTCCCAGGATGGCTATCTTCAGTCTACAGTGATGTGATTTTGACATGTATTGACTCACAAGATAGGATTCAGAGACTATAAATAAGGTTAGAAATAATGACTTTAGGAAGATGCACCATGTTTTGCTTCATTTGCATTATCAAATATTTACCTAGTGATATTTGATAATTATGTTTTCTTCCTACTTAACACAAAGGCCCAGAAAGCTACAAAATCATGAAAAAAATCTCCCAACATAAATGCTACAAATAGTGGTACTAAAATGTTTACATAGAGTTAATGAGTTAGAAAAGAACGTAAATACATCTTCACGATACTTACTAGAACTACCTTTGTTCATTAAATCACACATTAAAAGTTAGATGAGAAACAAGCAACTCTTATGCACGAGTCTTTAGCATTTAGACACTATGCACAGTGAAAAACTGCGTATCTGAAATGGAATGTCAATTTCTCAATCAAAAACTTTAGAGATAAAAGCTGATGCAAACAATATATTTGACAGATACTGATGAACTGCCAAAAAGGAATGTAACAAACAATGCCAAACCCAGCATGCTTCAAGATCCCCCAAACCCAAGAGGAATTAGTCTGGGAGACATGCAGCTCCATTCCCCAACCAGAGTAATATCAATATGAATGGGAGGGGGGATAGCAGAAAAAGAAGAAATCAATGGCATGTAATTTAATTACAATGTAATAGGCTTCAGAATACTTAATGGAAATGTCATTGTGACCTAATGGAACAACTAGTGCATTTGGGTTTAATGTACTTCTCTATTAAATCAGCTCCATGTCCTACTTATGTTGCCACTATAATATACTAACTACAAAAGCAGATTTAAAAATTGCCAAAACAAAATTACTATTGCATTCCTTTCAGAAGCAAACATAGTACACAATATAAGTGGTATTATTTAAGGTGATCTTTAAAATTTAACATGAGTTCAGATGCTACCAATACTATATAGCAATAGCACTGGAACCAAAAATGATGGAAAGAGTACAGAATAACAGGCTATTCCATAAATCTAGAGGAAACAGGTCATGATAACACTAACATACATATACATACACACATGTGCACACACAAATTGGCTTTTTGTTTAAATCACATAAGTATTAATAAAATTCTAGTATTAAATTTCTTAGATTATGCATATTAAATACAGGCTTATTGTTCTCAAGAACAGAAGTTTAAAATATTTGTAAAATATTTCATAAGTATTCAAATGAAATAAATTCTTTCTTTGCATAGCTCAAAATTGAATAGCAAGGGTTCAGATTCTTAAATTTTTAAAAAGATTATACATTATTTTTTAAAATGTCTACTTCCTAACTATAAAATGTACTCAAATATTTTTTATGAGCAATCATTTGTTGTTTATCTTGTATATACTTAAATTATTTTTATTATATTTCCCATTACTTAAATTACATCTAATATTTATTTTTATTATATTGAAAATTTTTAATTTTCCAAATATTTGCGCACCCCCCAAAAATATCTTTGGCAATCCATTTTTGATGCCTGTAGCACTTAATACACTTTAGTGCAACCAAAACACCCCTTTCTGAACACTATTATTGCTACTATTGTTGATGCTCTTAATAATATATCATTTTCTAGGACAAAAATAATCAAAGTAGTCTTACAATTATCTTTAAAAACTAGACTTTTCCATTAGAGATACTCTGGTTTTTAACCTTGTAACTAACAAGGCCAAAACAATTAAGTGAAGTGGCTGAGGAAACATAGCACATTGAATAAATTTGAAACACCTAGAAATTTTTGCTGCCCTCATCTGAAAAATTAATTGCAACTATTGTTAACAGTTTCTTTCCTCTTACCAACACAAAGTTCAATAAGTAAGTAAAAACACCTGCCAAACTTTTAAAGGTAACTACTTTTTTACTAAGCTCTAACATTTTGCTGAAAAACAACTTGCAAAAAGGGAACACCCTTAGACAAACTTCTTATATTTCAAAGGAACTTGTAAAAGAGAATCTGCTGACATATTAGATCCTTTTTGCATTACCCAAAAGCTTTTCTTTTAAGAACAATTGTGGTAAAGAGACATTTGGCTCCTAGGAAATTCCCAAAGGGTCAACCATATGCATCCTTCCATGGCACCTTCACAGTGCTGCTTTCTAGATCCATGTCTCAAAAGCAGCTTTCATCATTTACTTGTGTGTCAGTCAATATGATTTATGGACTGCATTCAACAAAGTCAAAGCATATAGAATGAGAAATATGACTACAATCTGCTAATTTGTTTTGTATTGAGCCACTTAAGAGTCAAAGACCTGATGTCAGACTGAGACCAGCAACACAATTAACCAGTCGGTGACAGATTCATCCATCCTCCCTGCCAGGCTGTGCCAATCAAAGACAGCATGAGGCGACATTTGGTGAAATCAGTAAGAAAACTCATTCTCTAAGTAACCTATGTGAGACCTTGATTGACACTTTTTGAATTTAGTTTGTGGAACACAGCCACTCTTTACCCAATAGTCTCTCGCTGCAAGCTGTGAAATAAGGCTTTTAATGCCAATCACAGGAACAATAAACCACAAACCACCAACCCTCCGTTTAAAAGGAATCAAGAAAACACATCTGTTTGTATGTCAAGCCAAATTTCCAAAGTAATTTACTAAAGATACTGTTTCCTTTGAAATATCATAAAATGGCATGATAACAAAAATACAACACATTTTATTAGATTATGGCTAAAAACTGTTTTGGTTTCAAAGTTATGTTTTGATAGATCTACTCTAATACAATAGTAGGAGAAATGTAGAATGCTTAAAAACTAATTTGACACACTCAAATTTTCATTTGAAGCTTTCATTTCTGTCTCACCATTCTCTTATTTCAAAGATCTAATAAAAAAAGAAGGTTTGATTTCAACAGTAATTATTTGAAAGCATTTTTCAATGCTGCTTTCATTCTCTCAAGTACATTTAAGTTAAAAACATGCTCTTGAAATCATAACCATTCTTTCTGTATTGGTCTACTTTCCTTAATGATCCCAAGAGAACCCATTTGCCTTTATATCCCTACAAAAGGTCAACTTTGCACAATAAACTACTTTTTTATTTAAGTAAAAAGGAATATATGGACTTAGAAATACTCTGCTGCATTTATTATTCTTTAAATTGATAGCAGGTTTTGTTTAAAAAGGTTATGTAATTCTTGCCAGAAAATAGTGGAAAAATGAAATTAAATTGTGGTCAATTTGAAAATTAAATCTAACATTGGTAAGTAAATTTTATTAATTATGATTCTGTATGGTTATTTAAAGTTATTAATTTTTAAAAGTTATTTAACTTAAAGCAGTAAAATAGTGCTATAGTATTCAAACTCACTGCCTCTCAGTTTGCTACATAAATCTGAGTTATGAGACTGTGAAATAGTCTTTCAGAAGAAAGGCAAGAGGAAGGAAAGTATTTTAATGAATCAGTCTCCTAAAGAGCAACAGTTTATTTCCTTTGAAAACAGACTGAAAGAGTGAGGACTCTCATCAAATGTGAAATAAACACTAAAATGAGAAATAACTTCTCAATTGAAATATAAAAAAATATGCTTGGTTAAAAAGTAGACATTTTAATATGAGAAATCTATTATCCTTACTTCTATTTTATGTAAGAACCACTAATCTACAGTTTTACTGTACTAAAACACATCTCACTCTAATGGAAAGAATGTTATTAAATTAGGAATAAAACATATCTAAAATATTAGTATAAAACATAAAAATTTCCCCAAGATGATTTCAAAAATTCATAAAGTTCCCTCTATCTAATAAGATAGAGTTGAATCTATTTTCTGGCTGAACAGTCGATAACACTGAAATGTCTCAGATTCCCAATAATAGGGAATGGATGAGTTATAAGGTTTAAATATCAAG